CAAACAATTATCTCGTCTTCAAGTTTTAACTTTAAAGAAAAAAAAATCAGAGCCTGACGAGTGAGACATGGATCTTCGAAAGTACTTGCTTAACTTAAAAAATATACACTAGAAACATCTGACAACAGTTTTATAAACGAGGGTCACATCATTCAATGGATTAACAGTATTTTAATGCATACATTATGTTTCTAATAACGAAGTGATTTCGCCATTAATCGCATTTATATTGCTGATTGATTCTATGTATGATTATTTTTTATATATATATATATATATATATATATATATATATATATATTTCGATCCCGTCGAATTCGACGTAAAGGGTCAAGCAGATCAAGTTCCTAGGAAACTGACAGTCCGACAACAGCACATGAGATTTGATTATGGTGATGTTAGTTTTGTTCAGAACCATCCACACTTTTTTGAAGTGCTGAATACAGAGAACTGGCGCACTACGTGCCACAGGGTCCCCAAACGACCCTCCGCAGGTTTTGAATTCAGTGTTGTCCTTCTCCTAGACTAGTTGCCATCCAAGGCTGTAGAACCCAGCCTATCCTGCAATTTTACCCATAGCTGGGGGAGAAGAAGAGGGAAAGCAAATAAGAATTTTTGGGATTTGAGGCCAATGTTTTTATTTTTGTCAAAATACTGTCAAGGCAAGGTTAGTGCTGGCCTAACGACTAATTCAAGCTGATGTACAGTCTAAGACTTCCTCGGTGATACAAGAGAAATAGAGGCAAATTATCAACCCAATTGTCTTTGTTTGGTTTCCTTGATAGAGATATGTTGTGGGGTTTGGTGTTGCGTTGTCCTTGTCTGAATATTTATATATATATATATATATATATATATATATATATATAGTTATATTGAATATTTGATCGTACACATGAAAATATTTCATATTTTTATTTGTAACATATTAAATTACAAAAATGGGAATATATCTACTGTATCAGATTGCATACTAAAAATATATAAAACTAAATAATAACCCATGGTTAAGAAAATATAGCAATATTTTATTTTTTAGGGGTTTAAAAAATGATCGTATAGCAGAACAAAAACATGTTTTCTCCATTTTATATTTTGTAGGAAAGCCTTTATTAAGTTCAACAGCAACCAATCTCTTCCTGTAGTCTTTAATTAACGATTCGCATACTTTAGTAGGTATTTTGTTCCATTCTTCCTGAGTAATTGTCTTCAGGTTTCTGATGTTTGTTGGACCTTTGTCACGGATCTTATTTTTCAAATACCGCCATAAATTCTCTATTGGATTCAAATCCGGCGACTGACTAGACCATTGTAAGATGTTAACGTTGTTATTAGCAAGCCAATTCTTTGTACTCTTAGCAGTATGCTTGGAATCATTGTCCTGCTGGAAGATCCAATCAGGAGGAAGCCCAAGATTCTCTACAGAAAGCGATAAATTTTTGCTTAGAATTTGTTGATATTTTTCTGCATTCATTCTACCGTCTATAACTGCTAGTTTTCCAAAACCTCACATCGAAAAGCAGCCCCAAATCATGATACTACACCCACCAAATTTGACAGTTGGTATGGTGTTCTTGGGTAAAATGCTTCGCCTTCTTTCCTCCATACATGATTCAGGGAATTGCGACCGAACAACTCAAGTTTACGCTCATCTGTTAAAGAACTCTTTCCCAATAACGGTCGCAAAAATTTTCCTCTTTTATGTTTTTATGCACGGTCGCAAATTTCAACTTGACATCTAGAATATGCTGTTTCAGAATTTTTGGTGTCTTTCTTGGGGAGCGCGACTTTTTACCGTCTCTGCAAAAAGTTCAATTAAAATCGATTAAAAAAACTGACAAACTCAGATCATTCTGAAGGTATTGTCTGATGGCCATTAGGTTATTTTGAACCTGTAAAATCAACTTTCTTCGTAATCTGGGAGATCTTTCTGGGAGCAACGGGCCTGCCTTTTTGTTCTCAACAGTATTACGTTTTTTAAATCTTGCAATAAATGAACCAATTGTTGAAAAAGGGATGTTCGTGTCACTGGAGATGTTTAAATAATTTATCAACTTTTTCCATTGTTCCATAGCTTAAAATTATATCTTTTTGATCAATTTCTTAAAAATAGTCATTGTTAGAACCGTTATCAGTGAACAGTGACTGCAGAATGATCCAATTTTGAGCTGAATGTTGCAATACAGTTACTGAGAATATCCTAAAAAAAAATTCTACTTAGATTTTAAAAATATTTTTATTTAATGCAAAATTCAAATATATATATATATATATATATTGTATATATAAATATATATATATATATATATATATATAATATATATATATACAGATTTGAATATTATGTAAAAATATATATATATATATTATATATATATATATATATATTATATAAATATATATAAAAGATGATGGAATCTAGGAGAATTCAATGTCCAGGACAGAATAAGAATATAATATAAAAGGCTCAAAACATTAATATTCCATGGTTATAATTTTTACAAAATTTGAAATAGAACGATCCAATTTTCGAAAATTCAAAACAATCAGATTGATTGAATATATATATATATATATAAATATATATATATATATATAAGGTCTTGAAATAATGAATTAGTATACACATTTCACATATGTTTTTTTTTTATTTTCAATAGGATCATCATAACATTGGACAAAACGATTTGTATCTTTATTAAAGGAAGAGAGAAAAATTAATATGTTCATATGTATTCATTTATTCGAGTACCAGGACATTATCACAATGTCATCATCAGGGTGGTATTTTTTCTAGGACAACATCTTTGTAGATTTGAAAATTAATTTTTTTTAGTGTGATGAAAAATTAAATGTAATGATATCAGTGATACTTTAAAATGGTCCCAGCAGGTCGTACATCTCATAATACCGCATGGAGGGTATTCAAGAGCAACTCTTGTATCCGTATCATTTGCAACGTGTGCAGTGTCTATCGCCCTCTAATCACTTACCACGGGAGAACTTTTGCCAATTTGCGATTCATGTGAGGGCTTGAATATGTTCTCCTAGCACATCATACAGGAGCTGTGTAAAAGGACTTTCTTTCGAATACACTTTCAGACCTGCTAGAGGATGTACCCCTGCTAATACGAAGGCGCATGTGGTTCATGTATGATGGGGCCCATGATGAACTGGTTGACATCTAGCATGAAATATGGATAGATAGGGTAGGATCGCTTTCATGGTCTGCACATTACCCCGACCTGAAACCATTGGATTTTTATCTGTGGGGTCGCCTAAAGCAATTGGTTTATGTAGCAGACATTAAAAATGCAGAGACGCATCATCAGCGTGTCACGAAGGCCTGCGAAACCATTTGACAGTGTGCGGGAGTATTTGAAAGGGCCCGCCAGTCAATGATCCGACGGGTGAATGCGCGTGTAAAAGCAAGCGGGGGACATTTTGAACATTTTTTTTTTATGAGTGGCTTTCGTTGAGGTAGATCAATAACCTTGTTGAGATATGTTTATATGGACATTTTACCTTGTTTTGCAAAAAAGACCTAGGAAGTTTGTAAAAGTATTATTGATAAACAAAATAATATATAAATATATATATATATATATATATATATATATATATATATATATATATATATCGGGAGAGAAAAAAACACATGCAAATGACGTTTTTTTTGTTGAAAATAAAAGTTTAATGCCAAAAAAATGGGCGAAACCATAAAATTGGTACAGCTAAAGATTGCACTGGGATCTGAGCAATTTGATGTTCAATATATATCAGAATATATATTTTTCTCACTCTTTATACATATATATATATATATATATATATATATATATATATATATATATATATATATATAAGCAAATATATGGATATAAATCCGACAGTATGAAGAAAATATATACGGAAAAACAAAAAAATCTTTTATATACAATTTATACTGTTTTAATGTAAATATGTCGACGTCGGATGTTTCGGTCTAATAAACCATCTTCAGGACATATTCATAAATTATAACATTATCAATACAACATGACAAAGACGATGTACATAAGAACAAGACTTATCCAAACAGAATAACTGAAAGTTTTATAAGATCAGCGCTCCGTTTAAAACATGGTCAGTTGTCGTCACGTTGATAATGTTATAATTTATGAATATGTCCTGAAGATTTTTATTAGACCGAAAACGTCCGACGTTGACATATTAACGAAAAAAACAGCATAATTGTATATAAGGATTTTTGTTTGTTTTTTCCGTATATATATCCATATATATATATATATATATATATATATATATATATATATATGTTATATTAAATAATATAGATAGTAAAATCTATTTATTTTATGTAAACTTTTCATATCGTCTGATAAAACTGTTAATAATATTATCATTAAACGAAGAAAGAAAATCATAATATTGATACATATTTTTTAATCCTAAATCTTTCGGCCATATTTAAGCAATTATCAAAGATGTCAATTACATAACAATATATTATGCAATATACGGACAAGACAGTGATATATATATATATATATATATATATATATATATATATATATATATATATATATATATATCTTTTTTATTTTGAAGTCCTTTTTAATTATTCTTTTTTTGTTTGAAACCTTATTTCAATTAATTTCATTATTTTCTTTGAAATCCATTTTTTATAATTTTGTTTAAAGGTCCCTTACTATTCTTTCTTTTTTTCTTTTTTTTCTTATGTTATAACAATCTGACTGAGGCCGAAAAAAAATGGTGTTTCCTTAAACATATGTTTATATAATATTTTCCCAATGTTTGTAAAAGTATATATACATATATATATATATATGGAGTTAAGTGCCAGTATTGATGGTTCTTTTTCCGGGTGGAAAAGTGCTGATATATATCTGCGAATGTTGCCCGCATTGATGTTTTTTATTCTTCAGTTAATTTCTTTGCTTCCCTCTCTTTGGTGAATAAATATTTTCTTGTTCTCCATGTTTTGTTTCGTTATTCTCTCTTCATTTCTTTCTTTCTTTCTTTCTTTCTTTGCAACTCTCTCCGATGTCTTTCTTTCATTCTCCATTTCTCTTGTTTCACAGAGAAAATTGCCGTCGCCATTTGATTTAAATTTTCCGCCATATTCTTTTATTTTTTTTTTTTAAAATACGTTTTTTTTTCTTCCCTTTTATTTTTCTTACTTCCTTTTATTTATTTATTTTTTATTTTATTTATTTATTTATTTATTCCCTTGTCATTTGTACTCTTAAGTCCGATGTCGTCCGGCCAACAATCGTCCAACTCATTTTGCTTTGTCGACCCATCTTGCTGGTCGCACACCATTTAGCTAATTGGTTAACAGGCCGGCGTTGATTTCAGTCGCGTTGTGTCATCTGCCATTCGTTTACTTACTCGTCTGCGCATGCGCGCATTTTTATTCTCGGTAAACGAAAAGGGTTTCTCGATTTAGTGAAGTGAGTTGTCTTGTAATTGAAATAGGGCCATTTTGAGACATATAGATAAAGTTAAATGCGGCGGGTCGGCATGTTGATTTTAGAGAGAAGACGAGAGGGTCAGATCAGCGAGCGGGAAGCGATAGAAACCGTTTGCTTCTTATAATTCGTAGAATTTCTATTTTTTTCCTCCTTTACTATTATTATTAAATTATTATCGCTTTTGATCCCATGACATTTTATAACGAGATTCATCACCGATCATTATATTAACCAGTTTTTTATTTTGTTTTATTCATAAATATATATATATATATATATATATATATATATATATATATATATATATATATATATGTATGTAATATGAAAATTTGTCAGAGTTAATATATAAAAAGATAATATATAAAGTTAAAAGACAATAAGAAAACTGTATTATTATCCGACGCGTTTCGTCCAATGTTTAACTTTTGAAAAAGGCAAAAACGAAATGATTTTATTAAAGACAAAGAAGCTATTAACAAATCAGTAAAATGTCCTTAGCAACTAGAAGAATTTAGAAAAATATTATTTACTCATATTCTAGTTCCTTTCTCTCTCCATCTATCTATTTATTTATCTCTATCTCTTTCTCTCTGTCTCTACTATCTCTATATATATCTATATATATATATATATATATATATATATAAAATTTACATTATTCAGACTATTTTCTCATCTTTGTCTCCATATTTATTACTCTCTGGAGATCAGGTTGAGAACACCATTGGAAAATTCGTAAACTTAAGGAATCAGCACATATGCTAGGCCACAAAAATCTCTTGAGCCGACCAAACATAGAAATGAGTTCAATATGGCAACCAGTAATAAGGAGTGCCAGAGAAAAACAATAATAACAACAAAAAGTTGCAATATGAGCTCTGGTAAAAAAAAAAATGCAATGATAAAAGCAAAAAATTTTAATATGAGCACTGGTAAAAATGGTTGCTGAAGACATTAGGTTTATAATACCCAGAAATTCATACCGAGATGTCCTCAAGGACACATGGCACAATGGATAATGGCGTTGGTTAGATCCAATGACAGGACTCGAAGAGTTCAATACCCGGTTAAGGCAGTGGAGAACTTTCAGGGAGAAATTAACAGGAGATAACTGATAACTGACATCCATTAGACATGGCACGTGGAACTAGAACAGTGAGCGAAATAAAAGGTTCAGTTCGATATTCCAACCACCTGAAGAAGGCCGACAAAGATGAGGACAATAGTTCGAATAATGGAAATAATGTACATCTAGTCAGTTCAATTGTAAATTGATGAGATCCCGACAGCAAACTGGTACTGCGCTGAAATTCAAGAACTCTAGGTTCCATGGTGAAGAATTCATCCGAACAATTTCAATGAAAGTATTTATAGAAAAGCCATAGAGAAGTACACTTACGGCGTTGGGAAAGTGACCGAAGCCTATCTATCTATCTATCTATCTATCTATCTATCTATCTATCTATCTATCTATCTATCTCATTCTGTTAAAATGTATCTCATTTTTTTCCTTCCTATCTATCTATCTATGTATCTATCACACTTTGTCCAATATATTCTATCTATCTATCTATCTATCTATCTATCTATCTATCTATCTATCTATCCCAGAAAATATATATATTATATTATAGAAATAGTAGACTGAGATAATTAGAACAATTTCAAATTAGATATCTATCTATCACACTTTGTACAATATTTTCTATCTATCTATCTATCTATCTATCTATCGATCTATCTATCTATCACACTTTGTCCAATATATTCTAACTCTTCCTTCTATCTATCTATCTATCTATCTATCTATCTATCTATCTCATCTATTTGTTTACTTTGTATCATTAAAAATATCTATCTATCTATCTATCTATCTATCTATCTATCCCAGTTCCTATTATCTATCTATCATATCATATCTATCTATCTATCTATCTATCTATCACAATTTGTCCAATATATTTTAACTCTTCTATCTATCTATCTATCTATCTATCTATCTATCTATCTATCTATCTATCTATCTTAGTTTATTCAATATCTATCTATCTATCTATCTATCTATCTATCTCAGTCCTATTATAGAAATGTGAGTAGACTGAGATAATTAGAACAATTTCAAATTTCAGAACCAATAATATTGCTGATTCTATGTAAACTTTTTTTTTTTTTGCAGTAGTACTTAAGGGCGTGGCGCTATTCGGGATTTTAATGTTTGTTATTGAAATCCCTTCAGGGGCACTTTGCGAATGACGTGGTGCCAGCTATGGTGGAAACATTCAGAGAGGTACAAGTGGTGTTGATAGTTGACCCAAGATTCGGCACCGAAAAGAAAAGTAGGTATCACAACGGTATTATAGATTTTTAGTAGTCGATTTATTTATAGTTTGCTTTTACCAGCCTCCTCTCAGCCTCTTCGGTGATGTGTTCCAATTTGCTGTGGTTAGTAGGTTTGCGATGAAAATCATTACGACATTCAAACTTCAATCGTTGAGTCACTGTATTAGGCTAAATTACTTCTCATGTTAGAATGGCCATGTTGTCAAGTAAAGGTTAAAAATGCTAATCGCAAAAGCCATTAGCATTGTAATTATCTGTCTATCTATTTGAGGCTGTTTATTCTCTTTTCTCAATCTCCATTTCTCTCGCCCTAACTCTATCAGCTTGCTTGTTATCTAACTCAGATTGTTCAATATTTTCTCTCTCTATCTCTCTCTCTCTCTGTCTGTCCCTCCATCTATCTATCTATCTATCTATCTATCTATCTATCTATCTATCTATCTATCTCATGTTATTTTCTTCTATGTTTTCCTTCTCTAAACCTCTATCTATCTCAGGTTAGGTTCACATTATCTATCTATTATCTATTATCTATCTAAATATTATCTATCTATCTATCTATCACACTTTGTCCAGTATATTCTAACTCCTTTCTATCTATCTATCTATCTATCTATCTATCTATCTATCTATCTATCTATATCTATCTAAGGTCATTCATTCATTTAAAGACTGTTTATCTAAATATAATTTCAGGTTGTCCTACAACACAATCTTTCAAAGAAATCCCTACTCTCTAGTTTGTTTATTTATATCTCTATCTCAGATTGTCTAGTATTTTCTACAATCTATCTATCTATCTAAGTTCCTAAACTCTGTCTATCTATCTCAGATCATTCATTCTGTCTATCTATTTCAGGTTGTTAATATCCTTTTTTTATAATTATCTATCATCATTCATTCATCTATCTATCTGAAACTATCTATCGATCTACCTGAAACTGTTCCTATATATAGCTATCTGTATCAGAAGGCCAATATTTTCTATGATATCTATCTATCTATCTATCTATCTATCTATCTATCTATCTATCTATCTATCTATCTCATTCTGTTAAAATCTATCTCATTCTTTTCCTTCCTTCCTTCCTATCTATCTATCTATCTATCTATCTATCTATCTATCTATCTATCTATCTATCACACTTTGTCCAATATATTCTAACTCTTCCTTCTATCTATCTATCTATCTATCTATCTGAAACTATTCCTATCGATCTACCTGGAACTGTTCCTATCTAGCTATCTGTCGGTCTGTCTGTCTGAAACTGTTCCTATCTATCTATCTATCTATCTATCTATCTATCTATCTATCTATCTTATCTCTTTCAGTTTGTTTACTATCTATCTATCTCAGTTTGTTTACTATCTATTCATAACTATCTAATTCTATTCATATCTATCTATCTATCTATCTATCTATCTATCTATCTATCTATCGCTATCTTTTCATTATCTATCTCAGATTATCCCATATTTTCTAACTCTCTATTTCTCTGTCTGTCTGTCTCTCTCCATTTCTTTATCTACCTATCTGTCACAGATTGTCTAATATTTTCTATCACCACCCACTCTCTCATGTCATTCATTGTCTCTATTTATCTATTTCAGATCTATCCTTCTTCTTTGAAAGATTCTCTGAAATATATATCTCTAAATCTATCTATCAGTTTGCTCATTATCTATCTATCTATCTATCTCATTCTGTTAAAATCTCTCATTCTTTTCCTTCCTTCCTTCCTTCCTATCTATCTATCTATCTATCTATCTATCTATCTATCTATCTATCTCAATCTCTTATATAGATATCTATCTATCTATCTATCTATCTATCCATCTATCTATCTAAATATCTATATAGATATTATAGAAATAGTAGACTGAGATAATTAGAACAATTTCAAATTAGATATCTATCTATCACACTTTGTACAACATTTTCTATCTATCTATCTGTCTATCTATCTATCTATCTGTCACACTTTGTCCAATATATTCTAACTCTTCCTTCTATCTATCTATCTATCTATCTATCTTAGTTTATTCAATATCTATCTATCTATCTATCTATCTATCACACTTTGGAAATATATATTCTTTTTCTTTTATCTATCTATCTATTATCTATCTATTTCAGGTATCTATCTAGAATGGATCTATCATATCTATCTATCTATCTTAGTTTATTCAATATCTATCTATCTATCGATTTATCTATCTACATCAGTCCTATTATAGAATTAAACAAGTTTTCTTACCTAGTTTAATTAGAACAATTTCAAACAAAAATATCCAACGGATCTATCAGTCCATTGGGATGCCCTAAACCCACAGCCTGTTTTCGCGTTAACAACCAAACGACAAAAGTTCTGACCATCATCAATAAAATCCTCATTTTGTTATCGACAATTTTACGATAAAATTATCCCCATAGAACAATCAAAAATATTTGTGTCCGTGTCTGTTTGTCATAATATATTTACAGGATTAAATATGAAGAGTGCAAGAAATCCTCGACGGTGGAAAACTGATCTTTTAATGAAACTCTATGAAATTATGGATTCGTCATTGTGTGTGTGCTGCCTCGACTCGCGATGATTTGCGTTGTATTTTAATTTTTTTTTATATTGTGGCAAAATTTCTAGAAAAATATATGGATTTTTTTGAATTATTTTCACTACTCAGTTATAGATTTGTGTTAGCGCGACAAGCTTATAAAATTTAATAATATTTTTACCACGTCGAAGTACTCAATGGTTTCCCAGGCGTGGCTTAGATCTGGCACAAGGCTGAAAGTGTGGGGCGCCCAGTGAGGATCGAACTCATGGTTTATTAAAAGAGAAATTTAAAACATAATAAAAAATTAACATTATTTATTTATTTAAAATAACTGAGCATGTGGCGACATTTGTTTACGTTTAGATACGCTTCGAGCAGATATGATCGTGCGAGGGAAATCATGGAAGATCAAAAATAAATTAAAAATAAAATCGGCATTTTAGCTAGATATATTAAAACTGGTATATTCAAAATATCAGGCTAAAAAATAAAATCTTGATAGGATAACATTCGTTTTATTTATTGTCGGAGGATACATTTTTCTACGAAAATTTATCTTGGTCGTTCAGGCCGGTAAATGTGGTTAATATTGTTTTTTTTTTTTGTTTGTTTGTTTTTTAATGTTTCACCCCAAGCAAGATGGGAAGCCTACTAGGATATAGGGGTTACAAAGATTTCGAGCAAGATCAGATAGATTTGATAGAAGAAAGGATGAGGAGAAGGATATTGGATAGATCAAGGCAACTGGAGATGTCGATTGACATTACATTTGAATAGCTGGAGATTATAATCTAAGGGAAACTGGAATAGGAAAGGAGTTCCACGGGCGAGAGGTGCGAGACATGAAGCTATTAGAGAAATAGAATGTAGATACATTTAGGAGTTTCGACAGTGAAGGGGTGAGAGGATGCCGAATCGTAGTTTGTTATAAACATAGCATTTACTTAAATATTTGTGTCTATATAAATAACGTATAATCTTAATATATATATATATATATATATATATATATATATATATATATATATATATATATATATAATATATTTGATATGAAATATTATCGGGTATAAAAACAAAAATCTACTCTGTTTGATTTTGTTCGAAATGTCGTCAGAGTTTGCTTTTTCCATTCCTTTTTGAATTTATAGGTCTGATGATTTGGATCGTGATTATAGGATTCCAATGTAATAAATTATAACCATGGAATATTAATGTTTGAGCCTTTCTATATTATATTCTTATTTTGTCCTGGACATTGAGTTCTATCTGGATTCTATCCTCTTGGGAATTCATATATATATATATATATATATATATATATATATATATATATATATATATATATATATTTTCATTAAAAAACGACAGAGTTTAAATTACAGTTGAGCTTTTTATATAATTTTTTTGTGGTGTATGAATTTCCTTTTCCGAATACGGTTTCTCAACGTTGTGGCTTTGTTCATAGTTGATATTGTTAAGAGTTGGCTTTTTCAATTTTTATTATTAGAAAAGATTTCCATTTTTTTTTAGTATTTTTTTTGCAAGTGGATGCAGTTAATATATTTGTGTTTTTACTAGTATGTTCAGGTTAATAGTGTCAAATAATTTGATTGAGTGTGTGTTTATGTAAAATTGATGGAACTGTGATCTGTAATAGGTGTTAATAATAATAAAAAAAAGAAAAAGCCAACTCTTAACAATATCAACTATGAACAATGCCACAATGTATAACCGTATTCGAAACTAAAACATCACTACCACACACTGAACATTATATAAACACACTCTACTTATATTGATAATTGAGCCATCCTTGATAATTATTACAAGGTATTATCGAAATTTTCGGAATTTATAAAACATTCGGACAGTTCTTACACACTCTTTGTCCAGAAAAGAAAGCTCTTGTCAGAACACAAGAAAAATTAAATAAAAAAGCTCAACTGTAGTACCTTGTCTGTCGTTTTTAATGAAACATGCATAAAGGAAGGATTGCTGCCTAAATATACAAATATATATATATATATATATATATATATATATATATATATATATATATATATAATTATTTGAATAAATAATCATTATAAATTTAATCAGCTCGTTTGGCAGTTAAAAGAATAACATTGCCGAAGACGGAACACATTTTATTGCAATTAGCATAACAACGTATGCATTTATTCATGGTTTCTGGTTTTCGATGCTAAATTTTGGCAAACGTTTTTGAATTAATAGTAAGAAGTTAAACGAAAGGAAAAAAGGATTTATCTATCCAAAATCATGTTCAGAAAATAGATCCAGACTAACTGAATGAAAATATTGAGTTTATTTTCTAATGATTACATACAAATAAATACATAAGTAATGTCCGATTTTAGAATAAACGTTTTTCAATTACGTTCTAGTATATCATTATCGACCATAGTATGGGTTTGTATCGAGTCAAACGATTTGATTTTTCCTTTTTGCCTTATAAAATTATGCCAGTGCTATATAGAGTTTTGAATTCAGAATTTCTTTCTCCTAGATTGGTTGCCACCAAAGGCACTAGACTAACCCAGTCTCTTCTACTATAGGTGGGGTTAGAAGAGTTGGACCGGTTACCACACAAGGCTATAGAACTCAGTTTGTTCTACTATTTACCCATAGCTGGGGAGGGGAGGAGAAGAGTTGGATTGATACCTTTCCAAAAGGTCAACCATAGTCAGGATCTTTGAGTCAATGCGAACGATCTTTGGGTTAGCTGCATAGTATGTGCTTCGTCAGGGCTACATACAGTTTTGAATTACATTTTCCTTCTCTAGATTGGTTGCCACCAACTTTATAGAACCCAGTCTGTTCTACTATTTACCCATAGATGGGGGGATAGTGTTGGATTCATATCTTTCCAAAGGGTCGATCATCGTGTCAATGCGAACGATCCTTTCCTTAAATGCATAGTATGTGTTTCGCCAGGGCTACCTACTGTTTTGAATTCAGAGTTTTACTTCCCCCTAGACCGGTTGCCATCCAAGGCTATAGAACCCAGTCTGTTCTACTATTTAATCATAGCTGGGGGGAGAAGAGTTGGATTCATAGCTTTCCAAAGGGCCAACCATAGTTAAGGACACCGCATCAGTGCAAACGATCCATAATATGTGCATACAGTTTTGGATTCAGAGTTTTCCTTCTCCTAGACCTGTTGCCATCCACCGCTATAGAACCCAGTCTGTTAAGGAATCGACCGTAGTCAGGATCATCGAGGCGAACAATCATTTCCTTAGCTGCAGAGTATATACTTTGCCAGGGCTACATACAGTTTTGAATTCAGAATTTCTTTCTCCAAGATTGGTTGCCAGCAAAGTCTATAGAACTCAGTCTGTTCTATTATTTACCCATAGCTTAGGGGGAGAAGATTTGGATTCATACCTTTCCAAAGGGTCGACTGTAGTCGGGATCATTGAGTCAATGCGAATGATTCTTTCCTTAGCTGCATAGTATGTGCCTCACCAGGGCTACATACTGTTGTGAATTCAGAGTTTTCCTTCTCCTAGACTGTTTGCCACCCAAGGCTATAGAATCCAAAACTATTTATCCATGGCTGGACGGGAGAAGAGATGGGTTCATATATTTCCCAAGGTTATTAGCACGTTTGTGAATGTAACGAACGCGACTGGAATTCGAACTCGTCTCTCCGAGTTCTCAATTGCACAAAAAATATATTACTTATTCCTAATGATTAAAGTGTCCGATTTGGTTATGTTTTTTTTGTTTTTTTTTGTTTTTTTTTATCAATCCCTGTCCGAATTTAAATTTAAAACATTATATAACCCTCACCCTGAACATTAAAAAAAAAAGACATGATGCGTTTAACCTTTTTGCTTGGTAATAATGCATTTCAATCTGCTGCCAATGAGGCGAAGAATCCGCTTGAGACCGAACAGTACTATGCAGGTACATGAAGTTCCGCAGTGGGGATACGAGTCTTCAATATCAAAGTGGCAGAGGACGCCCTTCTACAATTGACGATCAACACCTGAAAACACTCGTCTAAGAAAATCAGCGTCAATGATTCAGAGATAATAAATGTCAGCATTTCAACAAAATCGGAGGAATTGACAAGTTGATGATACTCGGTACCTTTTTTTTCTTTTAAGCTATTTAATTTCACCCCCAAGGAGGGAGTGCCACAAGCACGCAAGGGGTTACAGAGGATTGAAAACAAGAGCAAAGAGACATGTTTGGGGAAAGGATACAGAGAAGGACGGGGAACAAGCTCAGGGTGTCGATTGACATTACACTTGAATATTTGAAGATTATAGTCATCGGGGAAGCAAGTAAGGGGAATGGAGTTTCACAGATGCGAAGTGCGGGAGAAGAACCTGTTTCAGTAGAAAAGACATTTAACCGTTTTGACAGTGAAAGGGTGGGGCTGAGATGTCAGCCTGGTAGCTCGCTTAAATACATGTAATCCGGGAACCAGCGAAAGCTCGTCGGAACAGTTGCCGTGAAAATATTTTGAGAAAGAGAGAGGGAAGGCCACAGCATGTTTGTGGGGGATAACGACTGTAGACTAGATGCCAGATCAGGACCTATCATCTTGCACATTCGTCTCTGAATTTTGTCAAGGACCTCGAGACGTACAGCGGGAGCACCAGACCATATATGACAGCAATTATCCATGCAAGGACGGATGGTTGATTCATAGATTTGAAAGATGGACTCAGACGAGAGAAAAACCTTCTGGCACGACACAGAGAACCAACTTTCCTTGCGGTAGATGAAACTATTGATTCAATGTATTTATTCTCCGTCATGTCAGTGGACAACGTGAGACCAAGCAGGTTTACACACCGCGCTCTCGTGGAGTTAGGAATCAGCCATTCTGATGGGAGGTAGGGAAGGTTCCCTGTGGTGGATAAAGGAGAGCAGTTCTGTTTTGGAGGCATGAACAGAGTGAAATTCAAAGAGTTCAATAAGTGCGTTTTTCTGTTACATCTGATATTTTTATGAAATCCATTTCTTAATCGAATTTGACTTGTGATAAATGGGTCCTTTAATCATGCCATCGTAATATCGGCTAACGCTTTCAAAATGATGTAATTTCCATCAAAACGTTAAAAAACCGAAATTGCACCAACAAAGGCATATAGCGACTGTCTGGTGGTCGGCCATTAGCGTTATCCGTCATTTATATTTTTAAATCTATGGAGAGCGTCACCGCCGAAAAGTGTAAAAAATAACTGGTTAATAAAATGTGCACGTTCAGTTAAGCAAATTGCAAATATAGAACTGGTTAATCGACTACGTCCAATTCTGCTCCGTCGCAATGCCATGTTACATGTTTTCAGAATGACACTTATATTTTCACCAAATTAGGATTCGATGTTCAGATTTTCTCAACCAATTTATTGATCTTAAAATTTGATATTGATACTGCTTTTTTATGGTAACTGAAAATAATGACAATTTCTAAGCCAAAAGAGATTCCGATACAAAGAAAAATCCGAGAATTGCATTTAAAAATTTCTTGGCGTCCAAAGCGTTAGAGTTTTATGTAAAGGCATAAATATCCTTGTAACTCGATAACAAATATACATAGATCTTGAGGGTTGTTTACATTATTTACATTTTTCTAATTATTATCCTCATCTTTATTGTCAATCCTCACGATCTTTATCGGCCGTTTACGACTTTTTCTTCTTTGAAAGCAAATTTCGAAAAAACCGTCCATTTCGTTGACGCAATAAGATTGTTTTTTACATGCACATACGTCTCTTCCGGATGTCTCAGTTATCTCCCTTTAACTCAACTCTCCATTTTTTTGTTCAGTTGAAAGAGCCACAAAAATGAATTCACAAAATTTTGTGTCAAGTCACTGGATCCAACCACTTTTGTTCACTGGGTCACGTGTCATTGAGAAGATGATGAGGACCTCTGAACCATGTAAATATTCATAGACAATTGCAATACCTCATCTCAAAATTAGAAGAAAATAAAGCCAGTTTTACAACAAATTTTCTAAAATGAATATGGCAATATTATATTGACAAAAAGTTAGAAATATAATAGTAAGTGAAAATAATACGTCATCTCAGAAATATAAACATTTAATGGGGAATACATAAAGCGTATAACGGCCGAAAGATCGAAATATTGAAAAAATGAGGACAAAAGTCCGAACAATGATAAATAGTCAAATTTCACGCGGACCAACCTAATCTCAGAAATATAGAGAGATCCTGAAGTTTATTGAGCGTATACAATTAAACGTCATGAATATATTTAACGAAGATGAGGACAACAGTCCGAACAATGTAAATAGTGAAAATAATTAAAAATGCTTCATTTCAGAAATATAGAGAATCCTAGGAATTGGAGCGTACAACGACCTAAACGTCTTGAATATGGCATCGAAGATGAGGACAACAGTCCGAACAATGTAAATAGTATAAATATTTACAGTAGCTTATCTCAGAAATATAGACAGATATGTTCAGTGTACTTATTTTCACTGATTTAAATACTGTTCGAATAGAATAAATTATTCTAAAATCGGAGATTATTTTCCGAACAACCTAATATAATATTCAATAAATCAAGAAAAGTTCAAGTGAGTTATCTGGTTATAAGACTCAACGTTAAGTTTGGAGCTAACAAACGCTCAAACCCTCCTTTCACCTCTATTTATATATATATATATAAATTTTAGTAGAATCATATATATATATATATATATATATATATATATATATTATGAATTTCCGACAATTATATCAAGTCATTTTTTATGTTTATACATTCTTTTTAAAGATACAAATATTCTAAGGAAAATGCCTGTTTATAATAAACAGTATTAAACAACATTTCTGGCCTGACTTGGATGGAAAATTCAAAAAAAAGAAAAACTCGTGAATTTTTCGAACATGTATCTTATATACAGAACCTTCATTTAATGACGTGCCTTTAACCGATTTATTATAAACAGAGCATTTACTTAAATATTTGTATCTATAAAAAAGAATAAATGAACAGAAAAATGTTTTAAAATAATTGTCGGACTTTTGAATATTCTGAAATAATGTGTGACGTCATTTGTTTAAATTTGATACAAATGAGCAGATATGTGTACGCCTCAAAGAGATTCATGGAAGATTGAAAAAAAATTTATTAATTTCTATTAATGAACGCTCCTTCGTGGCCAAATCGGTAAAAGGCACGTCAAGCTAAATGACGATTCCGTTCTTTTACAGGTTCGAATCCTGTCGGAGGACGAATATTTTCTGTGAAAATTTCTCGGACATTCAGGCCAGTTTTTTTTTTAATACGGATATTTAAACAGTCCATTCATTAAATATTTGAATCTATTAAAAGAATGTATGAACAATATAAAATGCCTTAATATATATATATATATATATATATATATATATATATATATATATATATATACAAACATTTTCAGGAATTTTTTTATGTCTGCTTATTTTTCCTTATAATCATTTCCTATTCACGAATTTTTTCGGTATATTACAATCAGGCATGCCTAAAAGAATTACAGGTGTCACACACACACACACACACACACACACATATATATATATATATATATGAATGTTAAAAAATATATACATGGAAAAACAAAACAAAATCCTTATATACAATTATGCTGTTTTAATGTTAATATCTCAACGTCTTGACATTTCGGTCTAAATATATATATATATATATATATATATATTATATAATATATATATTATATATATATATAAATTTAATTATTTAGTCTCTAAGTAATTTTTGTAAAGTGAAAAACAGACCTCGACATGCTGACATATTTTGAAGGGCACATAATAGCATATGGCGAAAATGATACGAGCAAAAAAATAAAAAAAAAATAAAATAAAAAGAGAAAGTTAAAAAAAGAAACAGAAAAGTAATGATAAAACAACAAAACAACAATCAGCCCCCGACTAAAAAAAAAAGAAAAAAAAAACAGAAAAAAACAAACAAAGAAAAAAAGAAAAAATAACACAAAGACAAAGAAAAAATGCCAATGATTGAATTGACTGCAATTAATGAGAAGCGATTTGTTTGTTTTGAAAAAAAAAAAAAAATTCTTTTTTACGTTTTTCAGCCAATCATGCGCCGCTACGTGAAAGAGCATTGTTCAAATGACATTAACAAGTTGACAACTGCAAAGATTTTTTAATGTCTGCAATTGGGCTTCGTTATTCGAAGAGATGACGTTGAAAAGTTTTAAAGAAAAAGACCCCTTCCCAAAACAGAAAAACTGATATTTGGTGGTTGAAATACTAATTAGATGAAGCGGTTGAAAAACTATTTTCTTCAAATATTCTATCTATTTATATATCTATCTATCTATCGCAAATCTCTTATCTATGATCTATCTATCTATCAGAATCTATGAATCTATCTATCTATCTAAAAAAAATTCTGTTATAATATTATCTTCTCTATCTATCTATAAAATAAAACGATTTGTCCAATATATTTTAACGATGATAGATTTTATCTATCTATCTATCTTAGTTTATTTATTCAATATCTATCTATCAATCTATCTATCTATCTATCATATCTAATTCTACTAAAATTTCTCCGTATTTATCTATCTATGGGGAAAAATCTATATTTTCTATACCTTTTTGTTAAATTCCTTCCTTCCTATCTGAATAAATATCTATCTATCTATAATAAAATCTATGCATCTATTCAAATATGATCACATTCTTTTAAATATCTATCTATCTATCTAATTCTACTAAAATTGTTCGGAAATAATTATTCAGAAAGCATTTATTTGAATTGTAAATTGTCTGAACGAAAATTAATCGAAAAGACAATTATACTAAATGATAATTATTTGTGATACCTATGTTTGATAATATATGTATGATTTGCACACACACACACAAAGTCAAACAAATTTATCTAGAACTAATATCGCTCTTGAAGGGTAGCATAGGGCTTTGGCAGCAGCAAGTGCCATCCCATCATCCGACAAAAGGGAAATTCTTAGACGCTCTTGCGTTGTTTCTTTTTGATTTTGTCGATTACCGAGTTTAGTCGAATCAGCTGGGCACCGTTTTTGAGAAAAAGAGCACCATGACGCAATTCACTCCAACAGAGGCTCCAATACGAACATTTCAGAGTGTTTCGATGTCAATCTGAGGACAGTGCAGAGGATTCGGAAAGAGTTAGATGAGTCTAATGGTGATTACGAAGGTACAGCAGCTCAGAAATCTCACTCTGATCGTTCTGATAAAAGAACTCCCAAATTTATTGGTGAGGGACTCAGACTCAATACGGAGGCCTACATCAAGTGTCTTGAAGAGGTAGTGCTTCCCTGGGTCAAGAGGGTGACTGCTAGAAAACCTTATGTGATTCTGCAGCATGCGACACAAACAGGAGAACCCAGTCATAGCTGTCAGACAATTTCTGAGATCACAATAACCCCTTAGATCTGGCCACCTAACTCCCCAGACTTCAGCCCCCTTGATTATTATGTGTGGGACGCAGTTGAGAACTCCTTGTAACACCAAAGGCGAACTGAAGGCAAGGATTATGGCAGCATTAACCCATTCAAACAAGGCGACAATCCAGAAGTGTTGCAGGAGATTCCGAAGTCGTCTGGGGGCCGTTGCTGAAGGCAATGTCGATTTTATTTACTCTTTGGTATTTCAAGATATTTTTGTGTAATTTTGGTAAATATATCTTAAAATGAGATATCAGTGTTATTTTTATTTTTACGCCATTTTGTCGACAATTTAGTCATCACACTTATTTACTCTTTGGTATTTCAAGATATTTTTGTGTAATTTTGGTAAATATATCTTAAAATGAGATGTCAGCGTTATTTTCATTTCGACGCCATTTTGTCGACTTATATTCATCGCACTTATTTACTCTTTGGTATTTCAAGATATTTTTGTGTAATTTTCGTAAATATATCTTAAAATGAGATGTCAGTGTTATTTTCATTTTGTCGACAATTTATTCATCGCACTTATTTACTCTTTGGTATTTCCAGGTATTTTTGTGTAATTTTGCTAAATATATCTTAAAATGAGATGTCAGTGTTATTTTCATTAATACGCCATTTTGTCGACAATTTATTCATCACACCCTGTATATTGGAAGATTGACATTATAGTAATAATCCCGTTTGACGTTATTTTGTTCTGCTTCCAATTCTCCTTCACTTTTGAAATATAGCAGACCAAAGATAAAGAAATATATACTTTTATTAAGAACAAGGTCGTCTGCTGTAGAGAACAGTTTATTTTTTATCTAATAGCTGTATTAATTGATCAAGATTTGTTCCTTTTTAGAAACATCTATAATCCTTACATTAAATAAACTTTTGTTTAAATTAATAACAGTTTAAGATTTATAGTCATAATGCAAACTCTTCGAAAGTAATTCTTCGTATTTTAAAATGCAGCATGCCTCCAAATTCTTGTGTTATATAATATTATTTTTCTTATTTTCCTGTGACAAAATTCCGTACGTTTTCGATGACGTCTAATAAACCGGAAATTAATGATATTATAAAATCGGTATTTAAGAAAAAAAAATACTGACAAACCTTCCCCTCTAAAACAGCTTTCTATAGAACTACATCTATGTTGTCTACAAGTACCTCCTCATCTGCGAGGTGACTGTGCAGAAGGTTAGGGAGGAAGCTTCCAGTATCAGTACTGGAAAGAGCGATAACATCTACTTGAACTTAAGAAACATTTTTTTTTACAGAAAAAAATTGTTGTAATAGAAGGATTTTATGGTTTTCAGCTGAAAGCAGCATTGGATGTTCGGTCAATGAATGTTAAATGTTTCCGTATAAGGAAACGGTTAATATTCGCTTTAGAATGAGATATGAGGAGAACAGATACTACATTTTGATCCCAGTCAGATGACCAGGGAGTGAAGAAAAGCGTAACTCGCGTAGCACTGGCTGCTCGGTCAATGAATGCTGAATGTTTCCTTATAAGGAAACGGCTAATATTACCATTACCATTAGAGATTAAAAGAACAGATACTACATTTTGATCTTTCACAGATAATCAGGTCGTGAAGAAAAGCGTAACTGGCGTAGCACTGGCTGCTCGGTCAATGAATGCTGAATGTTTCCTTATAAGGAAACGGTTAATAGTACCTTTTAACGATAATTTAGAAGGCACTGCCTCAAAAATAGTTATTCCCATCGTGTCTTTGACGTGGGAGACAACTCAGTACAGCAATTTTAACCAATTACTCCCTAGCGTCTTATTTTAATAAATTATTTTAAGAAATGGCTTCGAGCGAATGCAGCCTATAGCTCTAGGCGAGAAGCATTCTTCCTCTAACCTTATGGACTGGCGCTACGCAATCACAAACGATGAACTATACCAAATCGCTGAAACTGCATCACTTGAGGACTTTCAACAGTAGCAACAACTAAAATAGATAGCACATGAAACTCGAAGAGAAAATAATGACATAATCATGATGTTGACATTCCACACTACTCCAAACAAAAGATTAGGAAGGAAACCGCCATCAGTACTAGAAAGAGCAATAACAGCTAATTGGACAAGAAAATGTTGGGGTAAACCCCACTACAGTAGAATGAACTCTTCCTCCTCTCATAAATACTAACTGCGAGACTTCCTAGCGTAGAGTCGTTGAGCAGTCTCTGACTGTGTGCGGCTTTTGTCGAACTCTCTGCTTTGCCAGAGAGGAACCCGGACAAACCTTTGCCGAAGGGCAAGGTTTTGTCCGGGGAGGTAGACAGGCCCTGAACCCGTCTAGGTGGTTTCAAAGGGTATATTTTTGGCCGAGCCTACGGACTAGGATAAACTCACTTTAAACTCGGCCTTGTGCCAAATATATTCCTCGTGGGTGGGATATTAAATACCGAGTCGTTGAGCAGTCTCTGACTATGTGCGACTTTGGTCGAACTCTCTGCTTAGCCAGAGAGAAACCCGGACGAAGGGCAAAGTTTTGTCCGGGGAGCTAGACAGATCCCGAACCCCCTTATGCGGGTTCAAAGGGGATATTTTTTGCCGAGCCTATGGGGCTCGGGGAAACCCACTTTAAACTCGGCCTTGTGCCACACATATTTCTGGTGGGTGGGATATTAAATACCGAGTCGTTGAGCAGTCTCTTCTGTCGAACTCGGTGCTTTGGCAGAGAGGAACCCGGACGAGGCTTTGCCGGAGGGTAAAGTCTCGTCCGGAGAGGTAGACAGATCCCGAACCCGCTTATGATGGTTCAAAGGGTATATTTTTGGCCGAGCCCACGGGCTTGGAGAAACCCAAATTAAAATCGGCCTTGTGCCACATACATTCCTCGTGGGGGTGACTGTTAAATATAGAGAATCGTAGGAGAGTCGTGAGCAGCAGAGACCTTTCGGACGGGCACTTCTAAATGTTTATTACTAACACTCTTTTCTGTATATAGTGATTTTCTAAGCTGATATTGAGATGTGGCACAAGGCCGAAAGTATAGGGCACCCAATGAGGATTGAACTCACTACTCAGTCGTAATTGATCTCTGCAAGACAAGCTCTCTAAATTTACACTCCGTCGAGGTGCCCTCTTGCTTTGTATATATCTGTTATTTTTAATACACTTGTCCAACCTACCTTCGTCTTCCGTGTCTTTCTTTCTGGCCTCTAAACAGGTCACAACAGAAAACCCCCACCTAGAGAAATGTTTTAATAGAAACATTTTCTAAATTTCAACTGAAGGCAGCACTGGCTGCTCGATCAATGAATACTGAAGGTTTACTTATAAGGAAACGGCAATTATTACCATTTAGTGATTTTGCCTCAAAAATATAGGGTTAATTATAAATAATATATAATAATAATGATTTTTTGACGTATTTTTAACGTCAAAAACGACATTCTTACGTCATTATTTTGCACCAAAAAAATAGTTATTCACGTCTGTATCTTTCACGTGGGAGACAACTCAATAACAGCAATTTTGACCATTAATTCCCAACGTTCAACTTTTGGGACGCTTAGTATAAATGAATTATAAGGTAGAGCCCTATAATTAATACCGGGGTAAAAAATAGGGAAAGTTGATTTTTCACTTTTTCTAACCTTATGGACTGGCGCTACACAATCACAAACGATGAACTATACCAAATCACGGAAACTATATCACTTGAGGAATTTCAACAGCAGCAACAACTAAAATAGATGCAAATAGATTTTACAATTTCTTTAGAAAATCCACACGGTACTCGGTACAAAAGCGGGAGTTTGATGAGATAAGTATTGACACCAAGAATTAGATTCATAGCTTTTACCAATTTTTGAGCTTTTAGTTTTAAATATCGTCTAAAAAACGTGCAGAAAATACCTTATTTTCTCAGTTTTTTGCTTAAAGACTGACTTTAAAATTTTACTATTTCAAGAAGAAATCCATATAAATTTGATATTTTTATATTAGATACATTGAACGGAAAATATATTCAAATTGAAATTCTGATTATGACAGACCAAAAGCAAAATAAATATTTTTTTTTTACTGTATTCGATAAGTAAAAAATGTGTAAAAAAAAGACAAAGATGGCTACTCAATAAATAAGATCTTACCCCATTTGTTCATGTTGAAGAACAAATAATGATAATCAAAGTCTAGACTGTGTTGCCATATTTATTACAACGTTTCGGCCGATGTACGCTCCGGCCTTCTTCAGGTTGTCGGAATGAACCCTTTATTTCGC